ATGTTAGCAAACAGAGATTACATATTTATATTAATGACTATGCATCAATCCCCTAAATTTTAAATGTATATATATTTTTTTGTTCTCCACAGACTTGCAAAGGTGGGATTATTACTAATTTAATTTTATAGAAATATAGACCCTGAGATTCATAGAAGGTAACTGGTTGCCCCAAATTTACATACCAAGTGTCAAAAATAAAACTTACTCAATGACTTCTTAACTCCAAATTGTTACCCTCTCCACAGTGTTTCTCCTGTTTCTCTAATGAGATAATGCAGATGAAGGGGCCAGCCAAGCACATGTTATTGTTATTATTCATTGTCTTTGAGTCTAAAGGGAGTCATTGCCTCAGGAGCTACTCCTGATTTGGTCTGAATCTAGGACAGCTTCCTGAATTAAATCTGCACAAAGGCTTCTGAGGCTGCAGTCTGAACCTATCTTAATGCAAAATATCACCCTAACACACCAATATCAATATTCAGCTGAATCCGATAGTCAGAATACAACATTAAAGAAAACATATCATTATTGAATAAGGACATTCAAGTCCTTGCTAGCATAACTCCAGACCCTGGACATATACATATTGTCTTGCTACCTTTTTTTTTTTTGCTAGATGGTGAGCAGAATATCTAGCAGGAAAGGATATCTTGCTAAATAGTTCCAAGGTTTCTAACCTGGAAGGTTATGGGGTATATGAACCAAAAATTTTGAAGAATTTATGAGATCCTGTAATTAATTCTCTATTCTCCACCCACTTCTTTCCAAACCAAAGGATTCTGAACATAGGGTGCCGTAAATGTCCTGACAGACTTTTTCACATAATCCAAAAAGTCTTATGCATTCTTTCATCATTGATAATTTTTTATTGATCCACTTTTTCATTTCCTTCTTGAATCTTATTCCATCTTTCACTACTCGCCATTTAAAGATTCTTGGTCAAGATTTTGGTTTGCTCATCTATAGTCCTCTTATGCCTCCAACAACCCTGGTCTTCCTTCCTTTTCAGAGATCATGGATACTTCAGTGAAGTTTGGGACTGAACATGCACAGTGAGAATTAATTCCTGTGGAGTTCTTGTATGGAAATTGCCAGGACTCTATTACAATTTAATTTTAAGGAAAGAAACCCCCAAATATTTATATAGATAAAAAATGAATACATTAAATAGTTCATTTTACTCACAAGCTGTAAGGGAACCAGATAAATGAGACAGAATTGGTTTTTCCAGGGGTAGGATGCAGAGTTAATTAAAATCACTACTAGACAACACAAAATTTACATATCTATTAATTACCTACAACTTATAAAGACTGCAAAACAGCTCAAAGACAAGGAACAAGGCAAGAAACTGATAATCCAGAAGGATAAACTGTAAACATGCATGTTTTTTTCCCATATTCTTCCCTACTCCCAGCAAAAGAACATACGACTATCCCAACCAATCCCAGTGGAAAAAAAACAAGCATCCTGGGTAATATCAAATCATTGCCAGAGTGATCCTTTTAGGACATTGAGTTCCTCTGACAAATTCATAACATAAGTTATAGTTCCCAAATGTCCTCAAATTCTTGAAAGATACAAATGTCTAGCCAAAAATATTAGAAAATAAAGAGTAATATGAGAATTCAAAAAATATTTCAACCTTTATCCAGACGATTCAAACTGTATTTTCCTGAAATGTGCTATAACCTTCATAGTTAAAACTAGACACTCAAGAATAAGATCCTTAATATATGTATATAATCCCACAGCTATGTAACCACTGCTCTACATTGTTAGCTATAATACCTCACTGTAGCTGTGACTCTACAATTAAATTTATCCCCTAATATCAAGATATTTACAACTAATTTTAGTAGCCATCACAACATTTCTAAAAAATTTTCTAGGGAAACAGATGATTATAGAATTATTGAAAGTCATTAAAAATGACAGTCCTCCATTGCTATTTCCATACAAATATTTGAGTACTTGAGTGTCCTACCATAGTCTCTCATTTTGCACACTGTAAACACATATGCCTACAACAAAAAATCAAATCACAGTTAGAGTAATTTAACAATATTTAATTCCATAAAAATAACAAAGTATAGCAACAGAAATTTTTCTAAATTAGAATCATCATAAAGACAAACTCTGAGCTAAGGAATGTCATTAACAGAATTATAGTGGTAGAATATAATTTGTATATCCATATTGATGACAAAGTATATGTTTACTCCCAGGTATTTATCCAAGAGAAATGAAACAAAATATTCCCATAAAAATTCGTGTACATGATTATTTAAAGCAGTTTTATTTATAATGGTTAAAAGCTGAAAACAACCTAAGTGTCCAACCCTGATAAATGGATAAATAAGTGGTGGTATAGTCATGCAATGGAATATTACTTGGCAATAAAAAGGAACTAACTTCTGATCAATTGATGAATCTCTAAAAATTATTTTAAGTAAAAGAAGTCAGGCACATATGTTTTATATGATAAAATTTTCTAGATTGGCAAAACTAATAATCTAGACTAATCTAGAGTAAACAACTGGTTGCGAAGGGTCTGAGTATGGAGGATGTGATAAATGGCAAAGATGTTTGACGTTACTTTTTGGGAGAATGGAAATTTTTTATTTTGATTGTGGTAATGGTTACATGAGTATATACGTTTTTCATTATTGTCAAAAATGAACTATAGACTACATGGGAACATTTAATTGTACCTCAAAATGGTTGATTATAAAAATTTGAAAAATATATATTTATATGTATATTTAGGTGTAGTAAAGGTAACAATAAGTGGAGTGATGGATGAGGATATTTGAGAACTTTAACTTATGTTATAAATTTGTCAGCGGAACACAATGTCCCAAAAAGATCACTCTGGCAATGATTTGATATTACCCATTGTGAGCAGAAAGAATATGAACAAGTAGTATGAACTGACAAGATTTACAATAGGATATTTACCCCATAACTTTAAACTTGTGTCCCATAACTAGACACTCATGTCTCATGTGATCTGGGATAATGTGAATTAATATAAAATAAGTCCTGTTATTATCTGTAAAAGACACAGTTTATACTGCATTGTAATTTTGATAATAAAAGTGTTCATTGGATAAAGGAAAACACTAAATGTAATGTGTTTATCTAGTACTATTTTAGACATTGGATTCTTTGTTTTTTTCATTTTACACAGATCTCAACAAAGAAACAAAAGAGAGAGAAATTACCAGAAACGTGGGAAACGTCGACATTTATGGTGTACTGGACAAACAGAAGTCTGTGAGGTTGAGAAAAATACCAATCAGATAAGTAGAAAGAGAATCAGGGGATTTTGGTTTTATGGAAGTTAAATGAAGTACATTTTTCTAGGTGATCCACATGTCAAAATGAGACAGAGAAATCTAATAAAATAAGGAATGAAAGAAACCAGAATGATTAACTGATAATTATCAGTACTCTCAGTTTTCATATGTACAAAATGGCTATTTCTTGAGGTTATCATGAGATTATGTATAAAGTTTATGGTCGGTTCAATAAATTTTAGTTTCCTTCCTTTCATTTTATTCAACAAATGCTTATTAGTATTATGGAACCCTTCTGGGGTTGCAATGATGACAAACCTTGCATTTTTGTAGAGTAGTAGGATCAGTACATAAACAGGTCATGGCCATTGTTTGTCATAAGTAACTTTGGCAGTGAATTATGAAACTTAAAAATATTTAAAATGCAAAAAGTAACTTTAAAGTTAGTATTAAATGTGCACTGCATGTTTCTAAAGTATTGAACACAATACAAAACAACGCATTCTTACTTTTGCCTGTAATGCTTTAAGCTTTTATGGTAACTGTTTAAAGTTAAAGACATCTGTAGCCACTAAAACTCAGAACTTACTAACCTGTCCTTAAAAAAATCAAATGGATAACTTTAATTGGCAAGTATCCAATAAATTTATCCATGTTTATTTGCTCAAACATGTTAGTGGAAATTTCTCTTTAATGACAGTATCTTTTTTAAAGGTAGTTTTAAACTGTTTTACATGCACTAAAACTTATCTTTTAATGAGTTTTGACAAAGGTGATATAATCACCAAAACAATTAAGGTATTGAATAGTTCCATTTATCAAGCCCCTTTTTGCCAACCCCTCCTCCTAGTCACCACCAAGCAGTATTCTGCTCCTTTTAAAAAATCTTTGTTTAGAAAGAATTATAGACTCAAAAGAAATAGCAAAAATATCAACAGTATAGTACCCTGTAACCATTACCTAGCTTTCTCCAAAGAAAATTGTCATACAAGATCAAAACTCTGTCCTGTACATTTGAGGGCAGGTTTTCCTTTCCATTCTTTGACTGTGTTTACTCCTTTCTTTCACATAAATTTAATTCTGTTGTGTTAAAAGGAGCAGATGCTAGTTTTCCCTCAGATGTCTGTTGTTGCATTTGCAGTGTTTCAGTTCCATCACCCATGTTGCTGTTACATCTTTCTGTCCTCTTTAACCCATCGTTTCCCCCTAGGTTAATTCTGCTGTCAGTTTTTTCTTTCTGAGATACATGTCACAGATGGAACTATTGTCAAATCTCGACTTCCTAACTTTTCCTTCCTTAAGTTTTATTTTTTAATTTTTTAAAAAGATTTATTTATTTATGCATACAAGAGCTGGGGTACAGGCCAGAGATGCAGGGGGTGAGAGGCCTCACCAGAGACAGAGTGGGGAACAGTACAGGCAGAGTGACAGAAGTACACTGCTGAGGGGCGAGTCAGGAAAGGTCTGCTGCGCCATGTGGGTAGCTCCCTGGCCAGCCAGGGATCGAACTCGTGCTGCAGAGGCTGCTGATTGCTTCATAGTGCGGTGCCTAACCCCTTGCGTCACATGGGAGGCCCTCCTTCCTTAAGTTTTAGAGGGGGTAGTCTTGGCTTACTTTTGGGGGTGGGGCGGTGTGTGTGTGTGTGTGTGTGTGTGTGTGTGCGTGCGCGCGCGCGCGCACGCGTTCCAGTAAGGTTCTCCGACTTCTCAGAGGGATGCTAATGGCGTTACCTAGTTGATACCTGTTCTTGCTCGACCCTTTTACCACAGATGACCTTTAATTTTCCAGACACTTGGTTCTTTGTTGGAGAATGAGAAAGTACTTCAGAAGCCTGCAACCCCTTACCCGGTGTCAGCTTACTTTCCGCGCCCCATTCAAGAGACCGCCTACGTGTGAGGCTCAGATTGCACAGCCACCTAGGGGCTGCAGGGGCCTGTGAGGTAAGGAGCCGGGTCCCGGCTGGGCTCCCGCGGGCCTCCTGGAGGTTACGCCCCGCCCCTTCAGCTCTGGGCGCGCGCGGCCTTTGACGTCAGCGGCCGGCGCGCGCCTGACGCCCTGGAGCGCGGGCGCAGTGCGCATGCTCCCACTAGGTGGCTTGCGGCGGGGCGGCTGAGGGCGGGGCCCGGCGCCCCTCCAACTAGGGCCTCCCTGAGAGCCCGCTCCTCCGCCTCCGCCCGCCTGGGCCGCCGGGGCCTGTCCCTTTACACCCTGGGGCCACTGGCGGGGTGGTAGCTTGCGGAGTGTTGGGTACCTCTCCCCTGCTCCCTCCTCCACCCCGTCGCTCCGCCCCCAGCGGGCTGGGCGGCGGGGTCAGGGGCTGAGCCGAGTGGGGTGAGTATTCCCACAGCTTTTGGTGGCCGCCTCCTCCCACCTCTGTTTCCCGCACGGTCTTCACCCCACTCCAGGGATTGGGAGGAAGGGCGGTGAGGGTAGGCGGGAAAGAGCCCAGTCCGGAACAAAAGGCCGGGGAAACGCGGCTCCTGCTATCGAAAATAGGGCCGCGTCCTGGCAGTCAGGCTGGAGCTGCAACTCGGACGGGCGGGGATGGGGAAGGCAGTGCCTTCCTGGTGTGACCAGCCCTCCTGGGCCACTGCTGGTGCCTCGGTATGGGTAATTTCTGCCACGTGTTTAACGCCTGCACACGGATAGCAAGTCTTTGTCCGTGTAACCTTGAAACAAAGGATATTAAATTACTGTGACCATGTCGCACTTAACTTGAAAGGGCTTCAAATTTACTCTAACCTGTTTGCACATTGTATCTGAAGTCATGGATGGGAGGTGAGGTGGGTTGGCGTGCAGGAATAGTTAACTACTTTGTAGAAACATTGTTTATGAAGGTAAAAGTTAAACATCTCAAAAAAGGCAAAAGGGATGGCTCCATGTATTTTAAAAGACAAAATGGAATCTTAGCTAACAGACCCACCCGAGGATAAATTAAGGAACTACACTTTTGCTTCACAAAGCATTGATTAGGGCCCAGGGTTGGTGTTTTTTTTTTTTTTTTTTTTCTTTTGGTCTAGTCCAGATGCAGATTATTTCTCACTGGGAAGGAATAAAAATACTGCTGGTTGTGGTTTTATTGCCCTATTTCGAGGATTTTTATCATTTTTTGCCATTCAGCTTGCTCCATTATGAGTTCAATAAATCTTTGCCACAGGCTGACTTTATTTGTATGAATATGTTTATAACTTCTAAAAAAAATTACAGTTTGTGCCCTCTGCTCTTTAGTGGCAAAAGCTTAAATTTTTACTTTTCAGGACTGGAAAACATAGGCCCTGTGTGGAATTCAAATGCTCATAGGCCTCAAGTGAAACCTTTCTTAAAATTTTTGATTAGTCAAATGTGGATGAGGAAACATTCATGAAATGAAAACCTTGACCAAAAAAATGTGTTGAGTATTGAGAAATTAAAATTAAAGTCTTGCAAATTACAGGTTCAAATATTGTTCTAATACTTTAATTGAAGAAACTAATTGAAATAATTTCCACTAGTTCTAAAATAGACTCATTTGGATGTAAAATGTACAAGATTCTTTGCTATAGAAATGTTATAAGGTTATTTCCCCTCCACACTCCCCCTTTTATTTAGGGTAAATTTAACTGAGATTGCTACATGATGGGACAGATTGAATGTAATGTTTTGTGACAAATTATAAGCTGATAACAATTCTTAATGCTTACATATTTTTTGGAAAGGATAAGCAGCCAGCCCCTTAGAAAATTAAGTAGGGCATTTTACTTTTATAAATAGATTGCTTAAGACTGACTTGATTTGATTAATACTGTCTTTGAAGCCTAGAGATGTGTTTGAGACCCTAGAGACTGTGTTTGCATCATGAACATGATCAGAATCCTAACAATAAAGCTCCAGAGAGATTATTTGGCAATTCTCTGTTGAAAACAAATGTCTTCACTGGTTAAGCAGGCTGGGTATAAAACATTTGGAAAGTGGAATGAAGAATAAACCCTACCTAAAAGCACCTGGGGTAGAGAGGGATTGCTGAAAAGTGAACCAGAGGCTTCTCTGATGTTTTCTAGGCATCGATGTGCTTGATCTGATAGGTTTTGAGGACCCAATAATAGTACTTATTAGCAATACAAATTTAGCATCGAAGTTGCGCTTATATCATTTTATAGTCATGTAATAGTTTTAGGAGAAAACTTCCATCGTCTCTTCTGAACTCAAGAATACAGTATTTCAACCTACTATTGCCCACTGTCTTAAATGGAATCTCTTTAGAATTACAGGGCTATTTACTGATATAAAGTGCGTTTTTTTCCACTCCCCAAATTTTCCTGTATTTCCCAACCTATGCTCTCCAGTTAGACTCTTTATCTGCCTACTTTGTGTCATATCAGCATGTTTCTAGGTTCACTGTTTTCCTCTACTTTCCTCCCATCCTCATCCTTTTTGTATTTCTGTCTTTCAAGTCCTTTTATAATTTAAGGATTATCTGAAATCTAAGTCTTCTAGGACACAGACTCTGGTTCTAGACTGCCTTAGGTCAAACTGATACACAGAACAACTCTATTAACTTGGACAAATAACTTCTCTGTTCCATTTTTCTCACTTGTAAAGTTGAGAAGTTTATCACTACCTCATAGGGTTGCTTTCAGGATTTAACAATTTGTAGATTTGTTGATACATAGTAAGAGCTTAATGAATGCTCTTAAAGTTATTATTTTAATCCATTTTAGTTCTTTAAAGTGGTTGCATAATTCATCACTTTCTTTTATTCTCTAATTTTTCAGTTTGAATTTTTTTCTTACAAATTTTATTGTAAACTCTTGAGGGCAAAACCCATATATTATACTTCAAAAAAAGTTTTCTACACCTGAATAGAGAAACCCTATACTGTCAAAACATTGACAAGGATGTAAAACGATCGTACTTCAAAAACCAACAAAAAAGGGCCTCCCCTGATGGCCCACGCAGATGAGTGCAGTGCTGTGAAGCAGTCCGCAGCCTCTGCAGCACTGGTTCAATCCCAGCTGGCCGGCGAGGGTCCCACATGGTGTGGCAGACCTCTCCTGTCGTGCCCGCTGCTCCCCTCAGCAGTGTATTTCAGTCAGTCTGTCTGTTCTGTTCCCCACTCTGTCTCTGGTGAATCCTTTCACCCTTCCACGCATCTGGCCTGTACTCTGGTTCTTGTGTAAATGAATAAATAAATCTTAAAAAAAAAAAAAACAAAAAAAAGGTCTCTTAAAATTCTCCTAGGATGATTTTAGGGGCTCAATGTATTTTTTTTCCTTATCTTACTGTTTAGTTTTCTTTCTGTCTTCCATTTTACTTTTGTTGCTTGTATAAAATTTATACCCTATTTTGTTTTAAAAGTATGAGGTAGTTTATAGAAAATATATATGATATAATAATATACAAAACTAACAAGAGATCGGCATCATGGAAATATGAAACTTGAATAGAAAGATGAAGGTAGGGTCATTCATTTCCACACTTTCCCACTGAGAGTAGCACCTCCAGAAGATGGGAACCATTGGACCTTATCTACCCAAAGCTTACCTAACTACCCATGGCTGTTTTGCTGATTTTTTTTTTTTTTTTTAAATTTAGCACAGGTCTTGTCTCTTTTTAGGTCTTGTCTTTCCAGGAGCTCTTCCATATTTTTGGTGTGCCTTTATCTCTACTTGGTAGTTCATTACTTAACTTCAAAATTCAGTTCTTCAAGAATGGAAATCAAGTCTTCCAAACTTCCCTTTTTTGAGTCTTCTCTGATTTTCCAGCAAAGTTTTAACATTCCTATGAGAATATACACAGCAAGGTGTTAGGATATTGTAGGTGCTGGGTGAAGGAATGAAAAGCTTGTGGAAATGATATGGCATATTAGTCTTTAATGAAGACTTTGCAAGAAGAAAAACTTAAAGGGAATGTCTCTTCCATTGCAAAAATGTTTGCTCACTCCCCCATCCCCCACCCCCAATAATGTAACCTGGTAGTATATTTCAAAAACACATTGCTGTCCTCATCTGTATTCAGACAGACATTGAGACTGTAGCTTCGGAAGTGTTGATTTTTTTTGTATTTTCTTGTTTGATGAATATCTTTGGCCAACATAAAACTTTAGTTTCTGGTTCTGGCCTAATTAGCATATGTGCTGACAACAGTTAGTTTTACAAATCCCACTGTTCAAAGCAGCAAGAGATTTGAGCTGGTGGATCCCCCTCAAACCTCACTAGTGTTGGAGCTATTTTTCCTGTGTGTAGGCAGACAAGCCTTTTTATGTAAAAAAGTTATAATCTTAAAAAAGTAATGACACTGGTATCAGAAAGATTGGCTGTTATATAAATCTTTTGTTTGAATGGGGAAAAAAAATCCAAACTTTCAAGTGAGTAGACCTGAAAGTTGAGTTGAAGAAAAGTACTCTACGGAGGTAGAGATATGTAGGATAAATTCATTTAAATGTTTGGATTTTCTTTTTTTCATTAGAACTTCTGCTTAATGTTTACAACATGCCTAACTCTGCTATGGGCCTGGGATACAAAATTGTAAGTAAGAATTGCTTAGAAGTTTAGATCTTACTGAATCATCTCCTGAAGATTTTCTGCTGAACAAGAGATAGCTGAGGCTACCTTGGTTTTTGTTCGTTTATAGTATGGTGAACATTTTTTTTTTTCTATATCTTTCTTTAAGGTATTGAACTAGGCTACTTCTAGGTGTAGATTTCTTTCCAACATTTTTCTCAGAAACAGTGATTTGTTTGACTTTGTAAGCCAGGAGTCCCATCATTCCTGCAGTTATTCTTCCATGAACTCTTCCCAGGTTTACTGTCTCTAGATAAACTTTGCTTTGCTTTGCCTAGACTAGGCTTGTATTCTTTCATGACCTTAGTAAAGGACTGAGGATCCCATAAAACCTGGTAACTTCTAGTAACCCCGAAACCTGGTAATAGGCCCATTGCCCAAGGTCCCTGCTAGGAATGTAA